GAGCACAAGAGAGTGAATGAAAAAAAAAACAAAAAATAAAAAACGTTAAAAGTAATTTATTTGTAAGCCCTGTGGTCTTGATTAAACAATTTTCTAAAATCCCAAATGTTAGAAATCATCAATATTTTTGATTAAACAACCAAATTGCTTGAGAAAAAATTTGTAGAAACAGTATTGTATTTTTAAATAATTCAAAGAATTTGAAATTTATTGGTTTAACATTATTACTGGTTTTTTTTACAATCCTGCAGTTTTTTTTTTTTTGTTTTTTTTTTATTATGATCCTGCAGTTTGAAAAAACTGAGATCAGTTTTTGAGATTGGTGGAAAATACAATAAAAAAATTCAAATATTTGAAAAAAGTGATACCACCAACTCACTTTATTACTCATAGAAGTATGTGAAAGGTAAAAATCTGTATGTTAAAGCTGTGCTAAAGAAAAACATACTTACTACTGATGTTTGGACACTCAGACCTGGTGTTTTTTGTAGAACTGCACGTACTCTAAAATAAATTTTAAAAAAAGACGTATCTATATGTACCTGAAAATCCAAGAAACCTTTTTGACATTCGGAATCACTGGTTTATTTTGCCCCATGGAGTACAGCAAAAATAAAAGGAAAAAAAATCAAAGAAAAAACCGCGCAGTAGATAATTCTTCGAACGAGTAGCCATCGCAAGTCCACGTACAACTCAACTTTACGTTATATGCATAAAAATTCCACCACATGACATGAAAAAAAAAAAAAAAGTGTTTCTCATTTGTCCACGTTTAAGGCTCCCTGAACTTTATGCCGAACGTCCTACGCCGAATAAGGGACGAGGGCGCGGAGCTACGCCACGCATACGTGACGACGCCGATGTGCTGTCCGAGCCGTAGTTCCTTGCTCACCGGCCGCTACGTTCACAACCACGAGGTCTTTACCAACAATGACAACTGCAGCAGTCCCCAGTGGCAACGCGAGAACGAACCGTATAGCTTCGCTACCTACCTCAGCAACGCCGGCTACCGTACTGGTTAGTATTGTATCAGTGCATTGTGTACAGCGTTTGCACTAAAATGAGCTATTACTTTTATCAATGAATTTTGAAATATTCCTCAATTTTTTTTTTTAGTTATTTATATTGACGTAAGATATATGTGTTTCGTTGTTACTTAAAATTTTTAAAATTAAATGAAACATGCACAGACGAGTTTTAAGAGAAAACGCGTGTATAGAAAGAAAACTTTTTTTTTCTTACTACAGTGGTCTCTTAGAGTTCAATGAAATTTTAATTTATGGTTTTCTTATAGTATCTTTAAAGAAAAATCGGCTTCGGATTACGTCCTCATGAACATGTAATTAGAAATATTCATTATTAATTTTAACTGAGAAATACTTTGGTAGAAATACAACCAAAAAATATACCCTACTACGGAAATAACAGAAATTTTTACACAAGTACAAAACGCACGTACTTCGCAATGTTGTACCCAGATATTTGAGATAAATCGAATGAACATGTGTTGAACACAACGATAAAAATGTGCGAAAAAAAAAAAATAGTGAGCAAAATCGGAGTACAAAGTATATGAACTTTTATTCGTCAATTTGGTTGCTGGATTCATTTTGTAGACATGTGTTTTTGAAATAAAAGTGATCTTAAAAGTTGTTTTATTTGTAAATAAACTTTCTTATTCTTGTCAAAATATAAAACAACCGAATTTGGCTCTTCGAAAACTTATTTACGAGTCATAATTACGCAGTTGGTGTTTCCCACTTTTTTTTACAAGTCAACTTTTATTCGCATTCTTCAGAAGCAGAAAAGCAATATCTCTGAAACTTTTCGCCTTTACGGCTTTCTTCGTCTGGTTTGTTTTATTTCACCGCGATCACTTGCGCCTCATAAAATATATACCGAAGGAAGGTCCCGGTATGCGCACATCTTTTTAACGAGCCTCCTGCTTATAGCCCATACCCTCTCTATTTTTCCCGAATGTTTGTGTGTACATGTATCTACAGGTACTCACGTTGCGAGCTTTGTTTCTGGAAATATGAAATGTGTACACCTAATACTATTTTTATATCCATCGAAAAGATTTTTCAAAAAACAGAGGAGAATTATTACAGCCATACAATAGAGTAAAATCATCCCTTGAAACTTCGCAATTTGTTGGTGAAACAATTCGTTAAACAAGAGTTGTTTTTTTCACGTAAAATTGTCGTTTTGCACCATCAAAAGTTATTTTATCATAACGAAAGTAAACGGATTTTATTGGCCTTCATTTGAAATAAAATTAATTTATAAACAATTTAACGATGTGTTTAAGTATTAAGGATGCCATGTCATTTTACAATATTGTACATATAGACATTGTGAAATACTATTTACGCGAGATATTGATAAATAAGTGTAAATTTGATCTAAATCCTATACACATACTGAATTTAAACTTTGTTCAAAAACCAAGAAAAACCTTAAAAAAAATGAACAAAACATGTGAACCAAAAACTTGTTGAGTTTTAATTGAAAAATGACATATCAGAAATGTATGATTTTTTTTGTTTTTTTTCAAACACGATATCATCCAACTGTTCCCTTTTACCTCGATCCAGGGCTCGGGTCGCGATGAGGTGGCACGGCTAGCCAAGGCAATAAAAACACAGTGGGCGACCAGGCAGCTGCGTCATCAACAACAACGACGACAGCGTGGGCACAAAGGGCACGTCTCCGGGCGAGGGAGGAAAGCGTCCTTCCGGCCACTAAACGATGGGCCGCCGACAATGGCTGACGGTGACAACGAGAACGACGACGGCCCTGCTGTTGCTGCTCCTGAGCCTGGAGCCCGGAAGCGGCAAGCGTGCCGAACCCGCTGATTTGCCGATCGAGGAGGCCTTCGGTGGAGGCGCCGGCCAGCGCAAGCCTCCGGGGAGCTATCACGGGAAACCAGCCGCTCCTGGCTCCGGAGTCACGGGTGCCGGGACGCAGGCTAACACGCCGTACTTGCCCTATCTCCAGAGAGAAAGGAAGCCCAACATTGTGCTCATTCTCACGGACGATCAGGATGTTGAGCTTGGTTAGTCTGACTCTTTTTTTTTTTTTATCCGTCAACGACTCATGGTTAGCCTAAAAATTGGACTTAAAAAAATGCTGTACCGAGTATTGTCGGCCTAAAAAATAGTGAACAATTTTACGATACTTTTTTTATAGCTATTTTTTATCGGAGTTGTGCTAGAGAAGTGAAATTGTAAATGTATAACACGTTTTGCACAGATGTCTCGAAAAGTGTGGGATTTAGTGATTTTCGAGCTAAAAGTACATGTACACTTCACGATGTTTAAAGATAAATTAGTTTTGATTTCTCTAAATGTCCGTCATTATATAAATTTTATTGGTTTGTTATATGATTAACCCCATGACCTTACTATTAAACTTTTTTCGATCAATTTTTACATATTTTTTATAATTTCTGTCCTTCACCGTTTTTGGTACAAAAATTACTTCGAAATATCTATAAAACTGTGTGATGCATTGATAGTTATATACCTACGTCTCTTAACATTATCCTATAAAATCTATAAAATCGTACGTATTTTATGTTTGAAACATGCCATTATAAAGTACAGTTCTACAAAGGAATAATTTTATTTTACGTTAACGTAATTTTTATACGGACTTTCGTCTTATAATTTCTATAACTCTATATATCATTTTGCTACCGTATTATACTGTTACGATTTGAAGCGTTGAATTTTTTTTATTTTATTTTTTTTATTTATCACTGAACAAAAAATAATAGCGCTTCAGTAAATTAATTTGTAAAATAGGAATATTAAATAGTGAAATTTGTTAGTTTGTCATGTCAAGCATTTTTAGGTTGAAAAATTTTGTTTAATAATACCTTTGGAGCAAATATTTTTATTTTCCAGATGATTTTGATAATTTAAAAAAAGTTTGTTTAGAAAATGTTATGCTTGTACAATAATTTGCATAGAACACGTACGGATAATAATGTTGCGAGAATGTAATATGNGAGCACAAGAGAGTGAATGAAAAAAAAAACAAAAAATAAAAAACGTTAAAAGTAATTTATTTGTAAGCCCTGTGGTCTTGATTAAACAATTTTCTAAAATCCCAAATGTTAGAAATCATCAATATTTTTGATTAAACAACCAAATTGCTTGAGAAAAAATTTGTAGAAACAGTATTGTATTTTTAAATAATTCAAAGAATTTGAAATTTATTGGTTTAACATTATTACTGGTTTTTTTTACAATCCTGCAGTTTTTTTTTTTTTGTTTTTTTTTTATTATGATCCTGCAGTTTGAAAAAACTGAGATCAGTTTTTGAGATTGGTGGAAAATACAATAAAAAAATTCAAATATTTGAAAAAAGTGATACCACCAACTCACTTTATTACTCATAGAAGTATGTGAAAGGTAAAAATCTGTATGTTAAAGCTGTGCTAAAGAAAAACATACTTACTACTGATGTTTGGACACTCAGACCTGGTGTTTTTTGTAGAACTGCACGTACTCTAAAATAAATTTTAAAAAAAGACGTATCTATATGTACCTGAAAATCCAAGAAACCTTTTTGACATTCGGAATCACTGGTTTATTTTGCCCCATGGAGTACAGCAAAAATAAAAGGAAAAAAAATCAAAGAAAAAACCGCGCAGTAGATAATTCTTCGAACGAGTAGCCATCGCAAGTCCACGTACAACTCAACTTTACGTTATATGCATAAAAATTCCACCACATGACATGAAAAAAAAAAAAAAAGTGTTTCTCATTTGTCCACGTTTAAGGCTCCCTGAACTTTATGCCGAACGTCCTACGCCGAATAAGGGACGAGGGCGCGGAGCTACGCCACGCATACGTGACGACGCCGATGTGCTGTCCGAGCCGTAGTTCCTTGCTCACCGGCCGCTACGTTCACAACCACGAGGTCTTTACCAACAATGACAACTGCAGCAGTCCCCAGTGGCAACGCGAGAACGAACCGTATAGCTTCGCTACCTACCTCAGCAACGCCGGCTACCGTACTGGTTAGTATTGTATCAGTGCATTGTGTACAGCGTTTGCACTAAAATGAGCTATTACTTTTATCAATGAATTTTGAAATATTCCTCAATTTTTTTTTTTAGTTATTTATATTGACGTAAGATATATGTGTACCATTAATGTGGCCTTAAGATAGAACTGGGAATTAAAAAAATAATTTTTAGAATATTTTTACGCTCAAAATTTTTATTTCATCCAATTTATTGTACTTTTACTTTTCATAAAAACAACTTTCAACAGTATTTCGTTTATAACTCTTTTTTTTAATGCTAACTTCAGATTATTTTATAAATCAAACGTTTCTTGACGTCTAAGAATAGCGTAATTTAAAGTATTAAGTACACTATTTTCTCTAGTTTTAAAGTGACGATCATTTAGAAAGTGTAAAAGAAAAAGAAAATGTTTTTTTGATAGGCACTACTGTAACGACACTTGTACTGCCAAAGGCTTACTACTAAATCTTGGGATAATGATACTTTGAGTCCATCACCCGAGCCACTTGTGAATCTTTGCATTTAAAATCATAAAAGACAGACCAGAGCCAACTGGCACGTACTTACGTAAAATTTATTTCATTCATTTAACTGAACTACATACTGCATATATATAGCTCGTTTTTTTATCTCTCAAAGCAAAATGTCAATTCAATTGAAGACCAATTGAAACTGGATTATCGAACCTAATTAAAAACGTAGAATACTTGACAAATTTAACTAAAAAAATCAGTATTCCGGGAATAAACGAACCCAACAGCTTGACTATTTAATAACGAGGTCGACAAAAGTATCTACATGTACAGCACTTTTTGGAAAACGCGCGAAATGATGTTTGTTCGCACTAAATTGTAGTACATTCCGACGTTGCACGGGATCGATCAACAATGCACTGTTTCCCGAAATACGCAGAGGGCCTCGTGCCAGATCTGACTAAGCAATCAAATTTTACAACAGCCCCTAACCCAGTTCTGAAACTTCACCCCGGAAACGGTGCACCGGCCAATCGTAACTATCATGCGCTTTCCCATACGCAATTGGGATTCCCCCGAATCTCTGTATCTTTCACTCGCAAACCGTAATAAATAATACGAAAGTACAACCACGTCGGGGTCACGGCAAAAGTCGGCTTATAAAGTTGAGGTATAAAATACTTTAGCCCGCACCGCGAGAAAGACGAGGAAAAAGAACACGCGAGCTGAAATTAATGAAGACGAAGTAGAAGACGTGTAAAGCTTGGCGTAAAGAAGCAAAAATTGATTCCCCAGAGGATGAAAAAGGGGCAATAAAAAGTGTTGCCACGTTGGATTTATGAAACGAAAAAGCACGACCTGGCTTTAGACAACACACCCGGCAGGGCAAGGAGGGGGGAGTAACAATGTTGAAGTTTGCCACACGCGCTCGGGTCACCCACACACACGCGTGCGCAATCCGCGATACGTACGTATATATATATATATATATACATATATATCGAGCTGCAATTCAACAGCTACCCCACCACTGTGTACGTACGTAATAGGCATACTCGTGTACGAGCACAATGGCCTAAAATAGGCCGCCTGCCTCGTAAATATCAATTTCACCCTTATCGCGCTGCCGCCAACACACCACGCACACCCAGTTGGTCTAATAATCAAGTATTACATACGTATACGTCGGAGGCTTTCTCTCCTTTGCATGAGCGAAAAATAAAAAACAACTATCACCCACCCCCCCTTCCCTTCCCTTGAATCTGCTGGTATTATTGGTATCGTCTGGCTCGAGAAAGTGAATCGTCGCATCTGCGGTGGCTCAATTATATTTACTTCGTCGTGGCTTGGCTGGCTCTTATCTCGCATTACTCACTTGTCACGCATCGCCGCTAATTTATCCTCTGTATATGTACGATTCGCGTGCTTTTTGTCGATTTGGAGCGAGTCTGTGACATTGCGGCTTCGTGCACGAAAGCTTACGAAAGGTTTTCGATGGATTATTGTCGACTTACCCAAAGTTCCTTTAATTAGCGATGTTTTTCTTGCGATCATGATACTTTAATTATTTAATGTAGTCTTGTTCTTTTAACTTTAGTTGATAACGAGTGTTCAAAAACCAAGGGCTTTTTGCCATTAAAATTCAACCGTAATGTTTATTAGAGTACTTGAGCAATAAGTATATTATAAACCACTTTCGATGTTAGAGCTGACATATTGAAAAAAAATGTTTAGAAATTTTATAAATCCAAACGAAGATGGTTATTTTCGATTAGATGTATAATTGACAAAATCGGGGCTCACCGAATTATTTTTTTATCACAATGTAGACCATTAAAAACCCTCACTTTTATTAACTGGACATATTTTATATTTTCATCCAACTAATCAAATCTTACGATTATATCGTTTTAGATATTTTTTATTAAAAAATTTTTATTTATAATTTTCATCAAAAAGTAAACAAAACAGCCCACCACGTATTTGACAGTTTTCACTTCAGAGTTAATCGTCTGAAAAATTAAATAAACATAATACGCACGAGTACAGTGAAAGACAGGTCATTGATGGATGGAGAAATTGAACTGATATAAACTGATCTGTACTTGCAAAAACAAAATAATTTAAAAAAAATTGAGAGTAACGCGTTTATACTACGTTGCATTTTCACCCATAAAAAATGTTTCCTACATAAATATTCTTAACTGACCCAGAAGTAGGTTAAAAATCGATTACAAGATTCCCTCGATTCCGCTACTTACTAATAGCATAATTAGAAAAGCCAATTAGATAAAAGTGCATAAAAGTGCATCAAAGTCCGGTGACTTGGAACTTTGAAAAATCAACCCCTTGATCCAATTAACGATCTCTTTTGATAGTTTTCTTGTCCACAAAATTTTAATTTTTTCCCAAGATTAACACAAAAATAATAACAATATGGTCGATGGCTGATTGCAGGTTACTTCGGCAAGTACCTGAACAAGTACAACGGCTCGTATATACCACCGGGTTGGCGCGAATGGGGTGGCCTAATCATGAACTCGCGCTACTACAACTACAGCGTCAACATGAACGGGAAGAAGATAAAGCACGGCTTCGAGTACAACAAGGACTATTATCCGGATCTGATAGCCAACGACAGCGTCGCCTTCCTCAGGCAGAGCAAGCACAATTTCGCCCGCAAGCCCGTCATGCTGGTGGCCAGCTTTCCCGCGCCCCATGGACCCGAGGACTCGGCACCCCAGTTCTCCGACCTGTTCTTCAACATCACCACCCATCAGTGAGTCATTACATACTGTTTGAGCAAACGCGTGTACCTATTGTTAATATATATGTATATAATATATCCATTACATACATATATACTCCTCTTCTCAGCAATTCGGCTTTACTCCGCCTTTTCTCCTCCTTATCTAGTGTTCACCAATTAAATGACGATGCTATCTTTTTTTTTTCATCTTTTTTTTTATACTTAAAAATAGCCTGTCGTATCGATTTACTGAAAATAAGCTGGCCGTGATGTTACATATTTTTTTTAACTGGTCGAAGAATGTTGGTCTTTAAGATATAGCTTACTGGTCGATTTATTTATTAATAAAATAAATAAAATAATGAAAGCGCCAATCGACACACAATCCAGGGCACTCACTGGTCGTTTCAATAATTAATAAAATTTATTAATTAATAACGCTCGAAAAGACACTTTAGTTGGCCAAAGATTTTATTTTTTAATCGTTTCGATGTTTTTCCATTTTAATACAAGAACCTAACTCGAACTGTCAATCGTAGATTTTTTCAAAAGATACATTTATATTGAAATATATAATCTTGTTTTTAAAAAATCGTTTTCGAAAGATACAAGTGAACTTTTCATCATTTTTTTTATGGTGGGCTTATTTTCTGAATCTTTTAATGTTACTATTGCTTTTAACTAATATATTATTTGATAAAATTGATGTAACCACACCCTGTACATCTAAGAGGATATCATTTGTTTCAATCAAACTTGAAGTATCAGTTACACGCGAAGAGAGAGCTACTTGATATTTTGATTCACGTTTTTTACGCAAACATTAGAAATAATTGGTTTTTTATTCATAAAATTTTTATGAATTCTCTTGCATGAAGTAATTCCTCCAAACATATATAAAATTTTTGTTAAGTATTTGTGCGACTTGGGCAATATTACATAAAACTTGAATATTATTAACATAAAATCCGTTTAAAATACAGTGTACATGAAATGTATGTTTAATTATAAACAAAACATTTCTCTTCGTACTTAATTGATTTTCAACAGTTTACCCAATAAACTTTATGTAAAAACTGTATGGATATTGTATAGAAGCAGTATCTTGTGAGAATCAAAGACCTATTAATATTAAATTCAGCGGAACAACGATAAATTTCAAAAGAGGTGAGACACATACAGGAGAGTCACCCATGATTTATCATACCCATGCTGGCGAACGAACCATTATTCATTTTTTGTGCATCAAAGTGACTCGTGATATGGACACTACTCGTATAATCACATTTAAATTCAAATGCACAAAATAAGTTAACAGTATTGCGTCTATGAAGAAAAAAGGCTTGAGAGAAAAAAAAAAAAAAAAAAAAAAAAAACATGAAAATTGATAGTCTTCGAGGTGTCAGTTGACAAAACAATGCAGGGGCAAAAATATGAAAGCAGAGCCGTAGAGGGTACATGTAGTTATGCATCTTTAGTGCGTGACAGTGGTAAGCCTCATAACTTACCTCATCCACGTCGAAGGCCTTCCCAACGAATAAGTATATATGAATGCAGGTACAACATAAAATCCTTGAGCTATAGTCAAGTGCGCCTAGTGCGTGTGTTACTCTATACATATACCTCGGTGTGGGTTTGAGAAAAAAAAAAGGAACGAAAAATGTAGCGGTGCGCCGATGGAAAACGATCCGTTGTCTTGGTGGTTTTGCCAGACGCTCTGGCGACGACGAGGAGGAGTACATTGTTAGAGTATGAGGTAGAGAAGGGGGAGTCTGTTGGTCGTCGAGGCACACGTACGCGTGACTGAGTGATTATTTCTCTTTCTTTTTCCTTTTCTCCCTATACACTCGTACTCTGAGCGATGTATAATAATTAAAAACTGCGTACAAGCTGTATACACCGAGTACCACCATCGTAATTAGGAGTATGGTAAAATTTTTTTGTAAAATATCTAATACCTCTGAGGAATGGTATATTACAATCCTATGAGAGAAATACAATTATCTACTTGAATCAACAGGTTTGAGATTTGAATAGGGACTATGGATTATTACAAAAGTTAGATGCTTATAAGCATCTATGCTTTAGTTTAATTGTCATTTATTACAAATGTATTAATCAAGTTCGTACAAAATATGTTTGAATTTGGTTTACTTATTTGAAATACGTTTTACAACACTAATGTCATCAATTATTTGTTTACATTTTTTTTCTTAAACCACAAATATTTCTACTGCATTGGTCAAATGAAATGTTTTAATTAATTTTTTAAAACATAAATGTAATCGATGGTTAATTGTTATGTGTTTTATAAAATGCAAATATGTTTCTAATTATTGGAGCTATAAAGAAATTGTATTAATGATTTTTTTTCAATACTTAAATTTTTTGTTTGTAGTATTGTAATTTAAAAAATATAATTGAATTGCTTTTTTTCCAATTTTTATTGATTCATTCAAAATAAAATAAATTGAAATAATTTCATATTACAGCCCACCACGTATTTGA